ATTTCAAAAAATTTATAATTCCACATCATATCGCATCATGAGTGCTAACTTCAGGAATGACTAATTTTTATACGAGGGGCGCAAGAAAGGCTCACAGAATCGAACATCAATTTTTTCAAATGGAACACCCCATATATTTCAACATATCTGAATTCTTATTTCATTAGGCTAATTATCAGTTCTTTATTTTTGAAAATTCGACAGTGCGTTGCCAAGTTATACCAGTATTTCATGAAATGCAGACATTTTTTTTATAGACAAACCCATTATTTTTACTACTCAGAATTTATTGAATCATTCAAGACTGTTGGTAGTCGGTGGTATATTCTATCATATGAAATACTCATCTTCTTCAAAAATTATACAGGGTGGTCAAAAATATTACATATATGATTTTCACGAAATTCAAACTTTCTTCACATCAATTTTTCAAATAGTGCACCCTACAATATGCATGATTCCATATCCCTTTGGTGGTTTGATTGCTTATGGTCAATTAATAGTTGTGAAAGAGATATGTGAATTTCATCATCAGCAAATGCAAATAAAAAAAATGCAGTAAACTATTAATTCAACTGTACTTAACTACTGAAAAACCAGTCCCAATAAGAAAAAACGTACTTGACGTATAATTAGGCACGATAATTTTAATATAGATGTTCGAATTGCCTTCCGTTTGCTGCAAGGCACATTTCAAAATTTTTCATTACATGATTTCTTGTAACATTCTCCAACATTCTCGGTGATATACTTTGACAAACCCTCAAAATTCGATTTTGCAAATCCTCCAGATTCGATGGTTGGGTAGAATAGACCTCTGATTTTAGATACCCCCACAAGAAAAAGTCTAAGGGGGTCAAGTCTGGCGAACGAGCCGGCCATTTTATTGGTCTGTTTGTTCCGAGCCATCTTCGAGGAAAAAGAGCGTTCAATTGGTCTGTCACGATCCCAGCGTTATGAGGCGGCGCTCCATCCTGCTGGAAGAACATTTCTCTGAGGTGTCCAAGGGGGACCTCATCAAGAAGATTACTGAACTCATTTTGAAGGAAACGAAGGTATCTTTCACTATTTAGAGTACCTTGATAAAAATATGGTCCAATCAAATTATTCTTGAAAATTCCACACCAAACATTTACTCCCCAAACCTCCTGAAAATTGGTTTCTCGAACCCAGTGCGGATTTTCTGCAGCCCAGTAATGTACATTATGACGATTTACTTTCCCATTATTGTGGAAGCGGGATTCATCAGACCACATAATTTTTGACACAAAATCACCATCATCATGGATTCTTACCATCATCTCAGAAATGAAATCTATCCGCCTATCATAGTCAGTTGGTTTTAAAGCTTGAACTAAATTCAATTTAAATGGATGTTGCCTGTGGGTCTTCAAAATCCTATGTACGGAACTCTTCGAGATACCTGATTCCTCAGCAACTCCTCGTACCGATGAATGGGGATTTTGGTGTATGTATGCTAAAATGTTAACCGACATATCATCATTAACGATTGACTTAGAATGTCCTGGTTGTTTGTTCGATGGTAATTTCTGATCGTTTCGCAGTTTAGCCTCAAGTCTAATGAAGGTATTTTTTCCTGGTTGTCTTCGATCTGGGTAACGTTGACTGTACAATACACAAGCTCTGCGGGAGTTTTTTCTTGCTTCGCCAAATATGAGCAACATGTCAACATATTCATCTGGTGAAAATAACTGTGGCATTTCAATATTCTTCCACAAATAACGGAGAACAAACTAAAACCGTCATAAGGGGCTTTGAACAATCAAACTACTTTATTGTATATGATCTTGAGAAACACAATAATTATTTATGCACTAATGTATGTTTATTGACTCAGCGAATGTAATATAACTGACATGACTCCAATTGTCCAAAGCCACCCCGGAGTGCTTGATATTATCGTGCCTAGATATTCGAAAAGAAGATGATTTCTTGTAGAGACTCTAACGTAGTTAATTACACTAGAAATACGTAGTTTGATGATTTTTTTTTTGTATTTGCTGATGATGAAATTCACATCTCTTTTTCACAACTATTGACCATAAGCAATCAAACCACCAATGGGATATAAAATTATACATATATTGTAGGGTGCACTATTTGAAAAATTGATGTGGAGAAAGTTTGAATTTCGTGAAAATCATATAATATTTCTGACCACCCTGTACAACTTTCGGAAAAGATGAGTATTTCATATAATAGAATATGCTACCGACTATACCAACAGTCTTGAATGATTCCATAAATTCTTAGTAGTATAAATAATGGGTTTGTCTAAAAAATCTCTGCATTTCATGAAACACTAGTATAACTTGGCAACGCCGTGTCGGATTTTCAAAAATAAAAAACTGATAATTAGCCTAGAGGAATGAGAATTCAGATATTTTGAAATATATGGGGTGTTCCATTTGAAAAAATTTATGTTCGATTTTGTGAGCCTTTCTTGCGCCCCTCGTATAAAATTTATTCATTCCTGAAGTTAGCACTCATGATGCGATATGATGTAAAATTATAATATTTTGAAAATTCCTATTGGTTCAGGAGATATTCAACTGTCCCACTGGTCTAGGGACACACTGTATATACTAGAGATAAGGGTTTTGTTGTCATATATAATTTCTTTATTTCTGGTCCCACCATGGATAATCAAATTGAAGACATGTTACACGAAAGTAATTGCAATATTTATTAGGGTCTTTCAGTCGCATTTATCGAACGAGGCTGTACTAATCTCCATTCATTTTTCGACATTTAAAAATGCTTCGAACAAATCAGCTCCTTTTTTTGCTTTTGGATACATATACATCATAAGTTGTAGAGACGGTACAGATCATACTTTGGAATTAATTCGTACAAAGAATCCGTCCTGCGAAGAAGATTTTATCAAATGAAATTAGTAAAATTTTTTATAATGATTCTGTATTTAACTGTAGTCTAGTGTCTAGTCTTGTCTATTTTTCGGACTCTGCTGTCCGCTCTCTGATACCCCAATTTTGATGTTATCAAAATAAAATATTTTATGTGGTTATGATTCCATCTGAATTCGTGAAGAATTCAAATATTTCAACTTCATTGCGATACTCGCATTCGCCATTTTATTCGCATACATTTTGCGGAATTCGTACAAGCACCCAGCCAACCATCGTGTGACATCAACATCTGTGTGATGTAACAACCTTCCATAAATGCAATATCTCGTTAACACATCTTATCGACGTCGATTCGATATCAACGTCGCAAGGTGACATCACAACCAGGAAACTATGTAATGTGGCAGCGACTTCTTCAAACTACATCTTTTCGACGTTGACTAAATAATTCACATTGATATCCTCATGAGATATCTTTGTGACCTGTGAGTGTAACGCATACATGCGCAAAACGAACGCACACGCCAGACGCCATGTTGAGCTGTGCATGGCCACAACAGTCAGTCAGTCAGTCAGTCAGTCAGTGAGTGAGTCCGACTCCGTACAGACTATTTCCTATTTCCTGAGATGATTTATAGCACATATTATAGAAGCTTCAAATTGGAGGTATACAATCATTTAGGAACGACGGTGAGTTCAATCACAATAGGTAATATTGTAATTATCTCTGATAGGAATATTGCAATCTAAAACAAGGTGGATGAAAGATCCCAAGATAATGTGAGTGTATTTGATATGTATCATTTATGAATAATTTATATTCGTATTGCTATATATATGTGTCATGTTTTACTGCAACATTACTAATCAGGGTGATTGTCATGATAAGTTTTGTATCATCTGTTTTTACTTCGGAAAATAAACATTTTCTTCGTAAAGTTGAATAATTATTATATATCCCACGAATATCACAGGTACGGCGACCACATCATCGATGTCGCATGTATTTGTAATATGAAATGTACACTTGTATGTGACCTGGTAGTGATTTTTTATGTGATGTCGCATTTCATGTCTGAACGACGTCACAGTGATGTTGCTTGAGTCGGACATTTTCACATCGCCACGTTGTATATCACTTATACATCTCATGGTTGGCTGGGCATGAACATACCTTTACTACGGAAACGGACCGGCTCAATGTCGGATCATCTCCATCTTTGTATTCCGCAATTCACATTTTCATTGCCTACCCTAACATGAAATGCATTGCACGCAACTGGTATGACGTACCAGTTTGGTGAGCTTCGTCATTCAGAAAATTTGTTCAAAATTTTCTATTTAGCTTTTTGTTGGGTGACAAAAAGGTGAAGCTAAACTCGCCAACATCCTTTACATTGTTATCAAACTATTCTTGGTTTGCTTACATCTCACCGACACAAACTACGTGATTTTTGATACACATATATACGAGTAGGTAACTTATCTCATTCTGATGGAGATGCATATTCAAGGATATCGCTGATGCTGGATAGACGATTGAATAGACATGACACCGGATAGGAAGGAACACCAAGCAGTCTCAACAATGCATAATCAATATTTTATATGTCATCTATTAGCTGTCATCTATTAAGATATCATCAGAGGTCAGTAGTGTTTTCGAAACTGTGTCACTTCCACTCTATTAGCAGTATTAGCTTATATTTCTGAAGTAGCAGAAGGAATTCTAATGGAAAATGTCAAAATTTCATAATGAAAACTATGTGAGATCACTATTCACCTGAAAAATTTAATATTCCGTCTCCGTCTTCCTCTCTCGCTGCATTTTTATAATATAAATAAATAAATTGATGAATAACCCAAAAAACACGTCGTATGACAAAATATTGTGAGTTTTTGTTCCGATGTTTTACCAACCTATTATTGGATTTTTCCTTTTCTTTGGTTGCATAGTCATCGGTACCTACGTGTGTATACTGCATATCATTGACACTATTGAGATTTCTTCATAGCATTATCAACCCAAGTTCAGAATGTGTTAATTCTCATTGAAGGAATAATGGTTGTGTCTCAGGTGAGTGGTAGGACAATTCATTCATTACAATTAATACAATGAATCACAATCGAAAAATTGCAGAGGTAGAGTTAATGCGAGACTATCTCAGGCATGATACCAATGTTTATCCCAAAACCTCTAGATACAACCACTTAACCCATGAGGTTAAAACTATGTTATGTGTATAATGTGTTTTGATTCCATGAAAACCTATTCATATTCATCACTGTCATTTTCTTCATTTTCGATTTTGATGTATTGTCTCGAATTGTCCAATTGCAGTTGCAGTTGCAGTTCATGATGAACAATTTCAATTTCACTTTTCACACATTTATTTACAAATGCAAAATCTGTTGGTGAAATACTGTCCTCGACAGCTTCATCTTTCAATTTTGTCTCCATTTCATCGTTAAATTCATTAATGGAACAACTTTTTTTCTTTGTTTTATAATATGGTCCGCTAGTATCATCGTTAGTGGCAACAACTTTACTTTCCACAGGTATCTCACTGTGACGAGCTTTGCTGTGACTGTTCAATTGACTTTTCAATTTAGACTTTTTCACATCACGTTGAAAAGGTTTCATGCCAGCGTGCAGGGCAACGTGTGCCGACAAGTTACTTTTAAAAGCGAATATCTGTTGACACATGCTACATTCGTAAGGTGCCTCGCCAGTGTGTAGTCTACAGTGTTCTATAATAACGCTTTTCCGTCTAAACGGTTTATCGCATATATCGCATTTAAATGGCTTCCCCACAGTATGCGTATCAATATGAAAAAGCAAATTCTTCTTTGATGTGATTTCTTTCTGGCAAATGTGACATTTAAAAGGTTTCTCACCAGTATGAATTCTCCGGTGGCGAATCAAATCGAACTTTCGTTTGAACGCTTTTTGACACATATCGCACTTGAACGTTCTCTCTTCAGGTTGTCCACTAATGTATGTGATCAAATGTTCGAATGATTTTAAGTTATCGTGCAGTTTTGTATGTTCTCGCAAATAATCAGCAGAAGTGAATTGTTTCTGACAAGTGTCACATTCAAAAGGCTCCAGACCAGTGTGCACATTGTGATGTGCAATCAAGTGATCCTTGCGTGGGAGTTTCTTCTGAGCAATATCACATTGCAATGGTTCCCCACCAGTGTGTATTAATTTATGCCGAGAAAAACGATCAATTGAAGTAAATTTCTTTGGGCAAATTTCACATTCAAAAAGATTCAGACCAGTGTGCTCGTTATAGTGTTTAGTCAAGTAAAACTGGCGTGCAAATTTCTTTTGGCAAATTTCGCATTGGAATGGTTGCTCACCAATGTGTATTGATTTATGTTGCATCAAACGATGGTTTGAGGTAAATGTCTTTCGGCAAATTCCACATTCGTAAAGATTCAGGTCAGTGTGCACGTGTTGATGTGCAACAAAGTTGACCTTCTGTGAGAAGATCTCCTGGTAATGTGAATTCCTCCTCTCAAATATGACATTTGAAAAGTTTTTCGTCAGTGTGCGTGATGATGTGTTTGTTGAGAATGTCCTTCCTGTTGAACTTTGGCAGATTTCACATTCCCCCTTATGCAGTCTATGGTGTTCTGTCAATGATAGGCAAATATTGCATTTGATGAATTTCTTGATGGCTTTCTTCTCATCATCTCGCGAATTCTCAGCAGCACTATCAGCTGAATCCATCATTTTCGACGCAGATTTCCAGGTGAGTGATCTAGTTTTTTGGCAGGCAGCTGATGTTTTCTTGATCATGTCAGCAAGAAGATGGTGGGAAACCTGTGAATGAATGAATCACTGTTAATTCACAAGTGGATGTAACATCACAGAATGAAAAGAATATTGATTTAACACAATCAGGTGATGCGTGAAGGTGATTTTTATTCAAAATATAGTATTGTGTTGCATGGTCATGAAGATCATATGTTGGTTGAGTATTGGATTTATCGAGCCCAGTGAACTCATATAGCGAATTCCATTGGTAAAACTGGCTCGCACTGAGTGCATATTTTGTATTCCATTGGTAAAACTGGTGTCGGGTTCTGAATTGCATTGGAAAACTGGTTCACATAGTTTAGAGCAACAATTCTCGCACGAGCTCTTTTAGGTCGTGCGAAGTCAGTGCAGTTTTGAAAATGGCGGAAACATTGAATATGCATGGTTAAAAAATCGAAATTGCGTGGCAATCTAATCATCATCATCAAGTAGTGATGAAAATTCGGAGGTTTAAAGAAAATAAAGGAGACTATTTCCCATAATTCATGATTTTGTTGAGTGTTTCGCACTGAAATTCAATGATGAAGAGGTTCTTATTGAAAAAAACTCCTCAGAATTATTTCCATGAAACATCTACTTTTTGTTTAATTGAAGTCAAGAAAGAACTTCAGGATACGAACAAGTTATAAACAATGACAAACCAATTTATCCGATTCAACCTCCAACAATAAAGTTTTATTATATCATTTCGTATTCCATTGGGAATGCACCAGTTCACATTTTGGAGAGAACCTACGTTGGTTGGTGCGGGTGTAAAACTGGTGTAAAACTAGTGCACCACCAGGTTTACGAATGGAATTCACTAATAGAGTGAATCAGAATAAAACCGACAAACTTCGTACCTAAACGGATTCCTCACCTCATTTTGAGGTTAACAGTCAGTTAACAGTTCCTATCAACGTATGTCCTAAAATAGGTCGCGTGCACGATGACCGACCCTGGAGGCAAAATATTGAAACACAACCTCACTCTTCTGTGAATTATTGAAACACAACCTCACTTTTTTACTTGGTTACAGAGGAATCAAAGGATTGAGATAGTTTTTCACAATATTTTGGCATACGAATCGTGTTTTTTGCGCTATTCATTAATTCGAGCATGCCTTCGCATACCAGCACATACAGGGTACGAGGGCAATGAAGAGGCAGACTCACTTGCCCGAGCAGGAGCAAACAAAGCTCTGAATGGCCCAGAACCCTTCTGTGGTATTGCGAAAACTATACAAAAGACTAGTATCAAATCATGGATGCAAACCAAATCTCAAGAATGGTGGAACAAATCGCCAGGAATGAGACAGGCAAAAGAGTTTATTAAAAAAACATCGCCAACATTCACAGAATATCTACTAAGCCAGAAACGAAGTTCATCTAGAATACTAGTGGGACTTCTCACAGGGCATTGTAGGCTCAACAAACACATGAGTACGATAGGTCTGACTGAAGAACTGCTGTGCAGGTTCTGTCAGAAGAGGAGGAAACAGAGCAGTACACATACTTTGCCACTGTGAGGGCTTGTCAAGACTAAGGTTCCTTACGCTGGGTGAGGAAAAACCAGAAGCCCAGAGATACACAGGGGATCTGAAAGCCAGCCTATGGAGTCTCATAGAGAAGACGGGGCTAGCCGAAGAACTCTAATCGATTTTGAGGGCAGACACAATAGATCTGAAAAGGTCGCGGTGTGGAGGCGGATAGCCCGAAGGCCCCATTCTAAATCTAATCTAATCTAATGCCTTCGCATTGTGCTGTTGTACAATGCACAAAGAATGCAGCAAGAGACTAAAGAATATGATTTTTCTGGTAAATAGTAATCCCACATAGTTATCATTATGAAAAGTTGTCATTCCTTATCAAAATTCCTTCTGCCTTCTGTCACTTCTGCAATACAAGCTAATACTGCTAATAGATTGAAAATGTCCACAACACACAAGATCGTCAGCATGTCAGACCAGTCCTCCCGATTGATTGCATGAATCCAATTTTCTTGCATTATTTTAGAAATGTTAGATGTATTTCTATTAGCTCCTATCGCAGAAGGAATTCCGATGAGAAATCCGAGAAGTTACCAAATTGCAAAAATGAAAACTATATGTGAGTGACTATAGAAGGTACTTACTTTTAAATCATATTATACCAACCGGATTACTTCGTCTTCCGCTGCAGTTTTTGTGCATTTCACAACAGCATAATGTGATGACATGAGCGAATTGATGAATAGCGGAAAAATACGATTCGTATGCCAAAATAATTGTGAAAAACTATTTCGATCACTTGTAAACAAATAAGAAAAGTGGCGTTGTGTTTCAATGTTTTGCCTCCAGCGTCGGTCATCTGACAGTTCTTGCACGCAACCCATGCGTCTTCTCTGATATACAAGGTTTTTATCAGTTCCTACAGAACTGTCGTAAAAAAATTGAAACTATTCCAGATTATTCAATGTAATCACATGCCGTTTTCAGTCATGAATTTCGTTGAACATTGGCGTATTTTCGATCGTATATATGTCGCCACATTTTCATTCACATTTTTTCTTAGACAGACCAATTGTTAAGTCGATATATGACATCAGTAAGGCGCATCGATACCTATCCTCAAAGTAATATAACATTCCAAATTCCTAAATGCAGAGGTTCCTGAGATATTTAAAAAAACTTATGATATATATGTCTTGAGGTAATATTTTTTTTATATTCTGGTTCCCACGAGAAGGGATATCCTGTAATGTTCAGAGAACATCGTGAGATCCAAGGGAAATAAGGTAAGAATTGGTGTTCTTCTTGAATACCGGGGAACACCTCCCTTGGCAATGTGTTCCAGAGCCTCGCTGTTCGTTGGATGAACGAATCTACCCTAACAACACAGGGATGTCCTAGGTGCGTCCCTTTTATGTCCCGCGGTACAAGGAAATGATTGGGACATCCAGGGGATGTCCCGCCAGTAGTTGTCCAGTGGACATCCCACCCGGTACATCCCTAGGTTATCCCATTCGTGTCCCTGGAATATCTGATATCCATTCTTCACATCAGAGAGTCATTCAATATCATCAAAATATTGAGTCGAATTTTTTCGAAAATGTATTTCTTCCGGAAAATAATTGTGATGAAAATAAAGAATATAGTCTCAAAACTTCTCAAGAAATGACCATTTTTCGCAAACAGAGATCGTAAATGCATAATGCCCCTCATTTTCAAACACCCAAGAATGATAATAATTATACCCGAATCCTTACAGTTTTATTTATCCAGGTTTCTGTAGTTGTCCTGTTTATAAATCTGTTCAATACATGAATCTTCGGAAGGCATATTGGCCAATGGAGTAAGGTGCGTGCCTGATAAGCTGAAGGTCCCGGGTTCAATCCCAACTAGACCTACATTTTTTTTTCTCCTTTTATCGAAGGGATGTCCCTGGGATATCCTTGGGACGTCCTAGGGATATCCCTTCTTTGTACTCGGTACATCCCAGGGACGTACCAGGAGGGACATCCCTTGGATGTCCTTTTTGTCTGAAAGCGGATGTCCCTGGGACGTCCCTAGTATGTACTTTGTCCCAGAAAAGATATCCCTGGGATGTCCTTATTTGAAATTAGGGACGTCCCTGGGAAGTCCCTAGGATGTACTCGTGTTGTTAGGGTATGGAAAGAGATGATCTGCAGGTCTCCAAAGTGACCACGAAGGGTTGCAAAGCCTCAGCTCGACGGGTTAATCTCGCGGGGACTGCCAAGGGAAGAACAATAATTGTTGATATTTCAGAAGAGCATCGTCCATGAAAA